CCGGGCGGGAGCGCGGTGGTCGCTCTGCTGGGGTCACATCTGTCGCAGAGGGTGCCGCGGCTCGGGGGAGCGTAGAGCAGAGGCAGAGGAGCTGCTGGCCGGGCACCCTGCTCTGCCAGCCGGGCACTGCCGTTCACTCAGGGAACAGTGTTGTTATCAGCGTTTGCTGCCCTGGGTCTGATACCATCCTTTCAGCGAGGACAGAGGGGCCTGCCAGGCACGGAGGGTTTAAAGGGCTCATGTGATAAAGATGTTATCACTCACCAAGCTCAAGGAGAGTCCTAAACGTTCAGCCTGTTCCGAGGTGGGTCCATCCATCCCCATGGACTGCTGACAGCACAGGGGAAGGTCCTGGTGAGTAACCGCGTTCCCTGGCTCCACTGGGGAGGGAAGAGGCTGGAGAGAGGGAAGCACTGCCTTAATCTCGGAGGAATATTGAATAACAGGAGTGTCTCCAGGCACATTTTGATATTCGGTATCTGAGGAGCGCGAGGCGCAGATAAAGAAGATCACCTTTGGCCACGCTGCCTGGGAACGCTGTCGGTCTCCGGATAAAAAGGCTGATGCAGTTGCTCTTGCTCCAGCAGTACCGTGGGCACGTTTCCTACAAGCCAATGTGCCTGAGGGGCCATGGCTGCGCCGGGGTCACCGTGTCCCTGCTCAGCACCCGCCGGACCACGGGCACCCCGCTGACGGCGCTGACCCCGCACGCTTGGAAGCACGCACAAGAACGTGCAATGAGCTGCGCTCTGAGGGTGTGAGTCATTAGTCCCAGCACCTAATTGGGGAAGATGGTCCCTGCAAAGGCGTGTTGGGGCCGAGACTGTCCTTCCCACGCTTGTGTGCCAATTAGCGAAGATAGATGAATGGTCTTGAAAATAGAAATCACAAGCTCAGAGCAGTCATCTGCTGGCGGAGCAGCCCTGTTTGCCCGAAACACGGCACCCGGGCGCCCGGCCTGTTTCCAGCCTTTGCAAAAAGCGAAGTGCCGGGCACTCCTTCGGCAGCACCGCGGCTTCTCTGCGGCGTGGGAACAGGCGTTTAATTTAATTTTTTTATTTATTTTTAAATGGAAAATCAAATTGCAAATTTCTCAGGGGTGCCGCTTGAGTTTCAGTCGGGAATGCCACACTTTGTCCCACATGGGGCACATGTCCGCAGGGATCCGTTACTGGCATGGCCTGAGCTGCTCCCTGGCGATGGGCTTGGCGACGCCTGGGCAGGGGTCCCCAGGTGAGACTGGCTGGGGGGGGGGGGGGGGGCGGGGGGGAC